CCGGACATGTACCTATATCCGGACACCTTTATTATTTATAAGTATAACGCGAATTAAGGGCGGCAGTGTGGTCTAGTGCGGTAGAGCGCCAGACTCGTAATCTGAGGAACCAGGTTCGAGTCCACTAGAGCCATATAAACATGGAATGTTTTTCCGGCAGCTGCGCCCCTCCGTGCAAGATAGGCTCTTGTGCGGAGCAAACTGGGCTCCGTCTTTTGGAAGAGACGTTAAGCTATTGGTCCAAAGGGTTAAAATGAGAGGAGAAGGGTAGTAGTGTGAAAGTTTGGGTAACGTTCCTTATAAAAAAAAAAAAAAAAAAAAAAAAACGCCTTGCAAACCCTGCGGGGATAAGCAATAAAGATAGTTTATGAGTATAACGCGAATTAAAATCAAAGATAAAAGTACTTTTTCTTGTATAGTTTAAAACTTCAGTTATATAATATCCAAACATTTATTTTTATAAATTTATATTTTTTTAAAGGTATAATCCAGACACAAATACGTGTCCAGGTATTGGTACATTTCCTATGCTTAAGTGTCCGGGTATTGGTACCTTGTTACCTTACATCATGCATTACGCATCACCGTCATATCACCGGTATCGTTTTTCTACACGCATGTAAATTATCAACGTCGCACGTGCCGCGATAAAAATCATCGACACGCTACATCCGTCATTCATGACAACCTCCGCATAGTCTTGGATATTCGCACGCAATAAAACCTTCGAGCTCGCTATACTGTCGCAAACATGCGTGATTTATCGAGTAAAACCCTCATGCGTGCTTCTTTTCGCGAAACGGACGAAATGCATTGACCGCGAATAATCTATTGTGAGCACGTTTACCTGCTTAACTTGGCTTTATTTTTGTGCACTTTATTTTTATCGCAATGTTGCAATCCGCATACCGTATGTTATATTGGCAGAGATAGAAAACGTATCGCAACATTAACCTCCCGATGCATTAATAGCGCTAAGGGATTGCGCAAATTGCGTGTCGAAAATTGCGATTGACTAATCTAATATTGTTACTATTGCACGAATCATATCCTTGAAAAAGGCAGGCTATTTTTTATTACTTTAGAATTTGCATAGTGACATAAACAATTGATTATTAAAAATGGAAATTATATTGATTTTAGATAAGTATTTGGGAATTGTTAAAGGAACAATCGGATGATTATAATCAAAAGTGGTTTTATTTGCGTTTTTATTTCTAAAATTAATAAATTGTAAATAAAATTATAAATTTAATAACAATTTACAAGTGCACCTTTTGTCAAAAATGTAATTTATATTTGCAACTTGAAGCAAATTAATTATATTGACAAGAAACTATTCCGATTTATAAATCAGTGAAAAAGTTAATTTTTTCTCCTTCGTTCCTATTTGAATATTTTGCTTCTAACGCATCACCTTTAAACTCGCTTCTAATGCTTTAAGTAATATTATTGAAAGAGATTAAGTAGATCTCAGTGAGATATCGTGGAGATTATTTGTACGCTTATATGGAAATAAAATTAAGCTTTGGGTTTACAAATAGATTTAAAAATGGTGAATAATATAGATGTCAGAAATATTAGAATTAATTAGTGCATCAAGTTAACATCTCTCGTGTTTTACATGCAAGTTTTGAGGGAAATATCTTTTTTTGATAAAACGAGCGCGACTTATTGTGCTGAGAATGTACTGGAAAGCGCTAGTTAAAATACAAAAAGAAAACGTGTGAATTGCATCCTCTCCCGAGAGAATCCACTTTTACCTTTTTCACCGCGCACAAAAAAGACCCGCCTCGCTATTTAGTATAAAAGCACGAAGTGGGAAAGGAAACCAATGGCATTATTCAGCGATCGATTTAATGATATCACCGGTCTTTGTAAGGTCTAGTAGCAGTAAGAGCGGGTCTTTTTATTAACGATGCTTTGTCACCGCTTTATTCCAATCCCAGCGAGCCTCCTTCCGTCGCTTTTTCCTAACGCGAACTTAATAACAGCCTGCAATTCTACTGTATGCATCGAATATTCTCTTCTAGAGTATTCAAATATATATTATAAATCGAGAAATATAACGCCGGATAATAAAGGGAGTTGAAATCAAGACACTTGAAACTGTATATAGCGATAAACAATATCGAAAGTTATATTTCATACACGTTCGCACGTCGCATAATTTTGCATTTACTATAGTTTAAAGTACAACTTTAAGCAATGTACGCGTACTTTTCCAACTATCGATTTCTCGTTACTTCGCGTTACTTCGGACATATAGATATATTAAGTGATTCGACAGCAAAACATTTTCTATAGTATTGCAGTAACATTTTTCATAAAATCAGATTATTTCTTTTTTACGTTCAAATAAAATACGATTTTTAAACTTAACAACTAACCGCCATCGTTGACTTTAAATATGCTCTATCTAAAACGGTCTTTAAAAATTGTCTGCCAAGAGCCGCCCACTGATGGCGTTCAATGAGCTACTTCTCACGTGAGTTATCCGTTCATTAAATCTCGCGTTGTCGCGGACGAGTGGGCTCGGAAGGGTGGTTTCCAGACGAGCGATCTCTTAGACTCAGATATCGCGCAAGGCATCCCCGGAGAGAGGAAAATACAGGACAGACGGGTAAGAGAGAACGAAAGAGGGCCAACTTGCGCGCTCGCAGAAATATCGTCCATTGTTTCTCGACGACAATGGCATGCAAAACGGAGATGCAGACAGCATCCGTTGCACTTTCAGATCCCGATCATTAAATTAAGCGGCATTGTACGCGTCCAAAAATCAAGTTCCGTCGAACGAACTCTCGCTCGTGCTCGATCTGTCGAAGAATGAGGGCCGATAGGCAGGCAACGCCTTTGATCTAAATCAAATATGTTCCTGCTATTTAGAGAGTAAATTGTAAGAGAAGCGCGGTCAACGCAAAAAAAGATGAAAGCACATTTCTCTCCGCGCCCCGAGTTAAATTCGGCTGACCGCAAATAATGTTACTTTAGGTCAGGGATACTGCGATGCACGCCAACTATTTCCATTTGCCATCCCGTAAGTTAACGTATTTATTAGCGGGCGCAAAGAGGGGCGTCCCGAAAAATACGGGATAATAACGTGTGCCCCTAAAAGACTCGCGCCAGTTGACTCGAAGCTGCGTAGGTGCAGAGGACTTTTCTTTCCTTTTTTGTTCTCTTTGACGAAAGACAGTCGAGAAAACGCGCGGCGAAATTATACAAATATATTACAGAATCCTTTTCCAGCTTTTACATGTTGAGTCAAATAAAAACCTTTTTCAGTTTTAGTGTGTTGAATCAAATATATAAGAAAAATATTAGCTTTGTTAATGCGAAAAATTTCCTTCCATGCCAAATATAATATTTCCACGTTGTAAAGAAATTTATATTTTTCATCATATTCATTAGTAATCAACGTGGTATAATTTTACAATTTAGAATTTGTGCGTCCTCGGTTGCATCTCTATAAATAGATCGTGATTTCACCGATGCTCTAAATTCGAAAATCATCAGACATAACAAAAAACAAATGAGCCACTGTTAAAAGAATCAGACGCGAAAAGGAGAAACAGAATTCCGAGGTCGATTGTGGTTTCAGCCGCTTCACAACGCTTTCTCTAAACCGATTGATATTAGCAAAAAGGTGATCGACCTCAAGTACTAATAGACGACAGTAATTTCGTTGCGATGAATCGCGAGAGGGACCATCGGAGTTGTCGTCGACCCCAAGCGGCGATTCAGGGGCAAAAGATAACGTCGATAAAATCATTATGCGCAAAATTGACCTAATCACGCTCCGACTTTCCTCCTCGTGAAAAGCAAATAAGAAGTGGAATTAATATTAGTGTAAAATTCACTTTTAAAGTAGCAATTAACGATACAGCGCGATTAACATAAGGTGTTTCGATATTCATTCGCAACTTTATTTTTATTAAATGATATATGACTAGTTTTCTGTATAATATTACTCAGTTATGTCAGATGTCTCCAAATGTATGATTGCTACTCCGCGAAATTTTCTCAACGATTTTAAATAGCCTTAACTTTTTGTTAACAAAACTTCAAAAGAAGGCAATTGTTACGACTTCTTGAAGCTTAATTATTCTTTACTCATTAGATCTTTTTTGTAATTTTATTTGCTTTTTCAATGAGTAATTTAATTAGTAAGGCTAGTGAGTTAAGTTACGCCGCTCAAGTTCCGGAAATCAATACGACGTATTGCCGCAAACGGTACTCCGCCAATGTCGCGTAATTCATTCGATTATGTCGTCAATAAAGGGGCCAATCAACTCAGGGAGAGACTCTATAAACGTCCAACAATCACTTCCCGAGCGGCTTAGTCTTAATAATTACTTGCTGTTTTGCGTTTACTAAGTTTGAATATATCTATTTTGCAACAATCTTTTCAAAGAGAAAAATTACTTCTTCCTTTTGCCCTTAACAAATAAATAAAATATTCACGTTCAATAAAATTGAGATACAATGAAGGAAAAATGTATATTAAGAAGCAAGTAGAAGTTTTTCTCCAATTTAATACGGAAGTAAGTATGCTTATTAGTCTTTATTCGGAGCCCTTACTTATCATAATCTTTTCATTGCTACTATTAAAAATAGCTGAATAATTCAAGCAAAAATTTTGTAATAAATGAAATTTTCTTGTTACAATTTACAGACAGTATTGTCTAAATGTTGCAAGCGTTACTGCAAAAGGCAAAAGATATAGAATTTCAGACGATATTACAACGATTTCAAGTTATAGAAGGAACGTCTCAATTTATAATCAGAATTATTTCCACGAAAACACTTAAAAATCCCACGACATTATATTGCCCCCGACGAAGACACGGCTCGGCCCTTCTGAAGCAACTGGGCCAACCCTTTCATTCCGTGCGCTCTTGAGAAAGTAATTTCCCGTTACAGCGTTTCCCTTTCAGATGCAGCCGCATATTACTCGAAAGCGCACTCTAACGAAACCGACCCCAAACGAAATTCGAACTTACCATTCGGCGAGATGACACTAGACCGACGTCGCAGTTAATTAGCGCACCTTCTTCCGGCCCAGGGGTGCATCCCGTCGCGGATCTCTCGACGACTAATAATTGCCGGGAAGAGCCGTCACTGTTTATTTCCCGTTTCGCCAATAACGTCGTCAAATCGAGTTCTCCGCGAGACGATCACTTATAATGTTCAATTATAATTTTTTACACCTGTATCGCCTTCGGGATTTTTGAGAGCGCCGGATCGTCGATGAAGATCGTCGATCTCGAGAAACCACGAACGGCGTCCACGCGATATCGCGAGCGGTCGTTGTTGTCGAACAAATCGACGTCGCGATACTGCTGTTTCTCCGCTCTGTAACTCTGCCCCTTTCGGAATTGGTGTGGCTTTCAGCTCCGGTTACAGCGTCCGAACGGTGTGCCTTCGTGGAAATCCAACGCGAACGCTCGATCGAGCCGTCCACGCCGCGCCGGTTATTCGATCCGACGCGACGGCCGCGGTCGCGAAGATCGACCGTATCGATCACCGTCTTCTTCCGCGCGCCAGCCTCTGTCCACCGTCGACGCGAGCGGCGAGTAGCGCACTACGCGAACTGCGTTAATGCGCTCGAGATAAACGACGCGTTTATTGCGCGCATCCAGTGCAGTACACGGGTCAGTCGTAAGCCCTCGGTTTATCGCTAGCGGAGTTGCGATAAGCGGACGCGTCGCGGGAAGAATAAAGAACGTGGAATAAAGAGATCGGGGACAATGCGGCGGACGCGAATCACGGTCATAAGCGCACGAATGCGATTGCCAATGCTTTTTCCTCTTTCACTCTTTCGGTGAAAAACTTTCGGTCTCGTTCAGTGCAACGAAGAACCCGCGACTGGCGCGTCGCGTCGCGCGCTCTCGATCTCGATCGCGGATCTTCTCGATCACGCAAAAATATCAATGATTCGCGAGTTAATTATTTGCGAAGAGAAGCGTTCGCTGTCAAATCACACGTGGTTGCGGCACGTTAAACCGGAAATCACTGTCTTCTGTTTCGGGAATCGTCTCTTTGAAACTCAAGGATCTATCGTCAAAGATCGCGCGTTTTCATCATCGTCGAGGAACCGCGTCAGGCGAAACGTTGCCAGACGATAGTCCCGAAAATTTACATCCGCGGCGAAAATTTGCGCGTTCCTGCCGGACTCGATCGTTTTATCGTCGTGGCAAACGAAAAGCGATGAACGAAACGGCGCCGACGACAACATATCCGTTCGCAGCGACGGCCGACGTCGGACTGCCACCGGCCGCCACTATCAAGGGGTCTTATCGACGGCAGGATAGGTCGTGTTCTGTACGCGGCACCTCCGGACATTCCCATTGACGGAATTATTGTCAATGAACATCTCGGCGATGATAAATCGCCGGTTTTGCTATGATAGGATTGCCGTCGGCGGGAGCTCATCACTCGATGTTTGATTATAAGTGAACTTTCACGTTTTTTCATTTATATCTGTCGGGCATAGCCTTGTTTTTACCCTGGTTTGATATAAGACAGTTTAATAAATTGTGACAAATAAGATTTCATGAAACCTCGATTGACATGTATAAAGAAAGAAAAATACATCGCAGCGTTCTCTTAGACTTTTACTTCTTACAGAAATAAAATTAATATAGAACTGCCAATATAATTAATTTCTTCTAGATTAATTATTGGTAGTTCTATATTAATATATATAACTTTAAAATTGCAACAAAAGCCATTGAAAATTTCAGAAAATGCATCGTTATAAGTAGTTTTTCAAAAAATTACAAATGACTCACTTTACTTTGTAATTCTAATGTCAAGAATGTATTGAGATCACAATGTACTTTACAGCAAGTTTATTTAATTAATACAATTTTAATTAAATACATTCATTTTTTAATACCAAAAGTATCTAAATAAAAAATAAATAAGTGTAACATTTTATATAAATTGTTATCTTTAAAGATACCTATAGAAATATTGTGTTCTAAAAATGCAAAATAAATGAGTCGAATAACTCATATAATTGTAATATGATTGTAATATAATGGTGATGTCCGATTTATCTCCATCGTGGTAGGAGAAAAAAATAGAAGAATTGGGAGAGAAGCGGGAGAAATCCATTTTTGAAAATTTAATCTGCCATTCATTTAACAGCGGAAGCCAATGGCGATTCCTCATTGTCAGTGTAGAAAAAGAATTGACGTACATACGTTTGCGCACGTTATTCGATCGAACGATTAAACAGTCTGTTATTGACGTAAGTAACACGCGGAAAAGCCGAGCGAAACATTATCCAAAGACAACACGACAACTTCGTCAACATGATATTTCGTCAACATATAATTTAATATCGTCAAACACAATTTTGTTATTCCGTCGCATATAGTCGTGTTCTAACTTCCTTAAAGCGAATGCGGAGACAACTCGTGAGACAACTGTCCAATCCAAGGAGACAGAAATTTATTAAAACAAAAAATAGAAGGTGCTCGGATCATAAGGCATTTCATTTAAAAGGATAATTGCACAATGCTTCTACTTCTATGATATTATCTTCTTATTCTGTTTCTCTCTCTCTCTCGATCTTTTTTCTAGTTCATCGATTTGCAATTAAATACATATGTCGTAAGTCCAGCTATACACTGATATCTGTAGGCGCATTGTCGCTGCTCTAAAAAACGTATAGTGCGGGTAAAAAAGAGAGAGGGAGAAAAAACTGGATAAAACAAAAGACAAAAAAACGTGTTTACGTTGTAAATTAAAAGTAGAATATGGAAATGCAAAACCGCAGTAAGAGAAGCTATCCGGTAGTGAAGGATCCAAGTTCGATACGTGTGCGCTTATTGTAAAAATGCGAAAAATGTTGTTAAGCTAAGCTTCGAGAGTGCAAATACGTAGTCAAACTTTACACTTGAGTAACTTTCAAGAGCTTGTCTATTTTAATAAAAATTTAATTTGAAGTTTACGCAGCGCTACCTAGTTAGCAAAATGTTTTATCTTGTAAATTTAAAAGTTACGCAAAAGTGCGACGTTCAAGAAAATTTTCACCGCTAAAAAATCGCCTTAGAAATTTTATCGGAGAATATTCACACGCGAACGTCACGCTCAAGCGTGCGTAAAATATAAACATAGACTATCTATATTATATGCGCTATCATAATAATGTTATTTATATTTTATAAATTTGATAATATTAGATTCTTTTGTAAATAATAAAAGAAAGAATTTTATAATATTAAATTTATGTTATTTAGCAACAGTTTTAAAATACAACTTGTATCTAATATACTACTTTTAATTACGCATGCTATTTAATTTTTAATTACACCGGTATTAGGTTATTGATATGGTATCGACTAAGTTGTAAATTATAAATGCAAAAACTTAACGAGTCTAATAAAATAGCATATTTATTGTTAAATATTTAACCTTTACGATCAAAACATATTGCTACGCTACACGATATGTTGAAGTAGCACAAGTGCATGAATCAATGACCATTGACATTACTGACTAATTAATTATCGGACGTACCGCAGTCGTTAATTACTACTGATGCTTTTGTATCTCCGTTAAATGTAATGTACACTGAAAAAAGGTTTTGAACCAAGGCTTGGTGAAATAGCTTCAACTAAAGAGTTTAGTGATTATGACAAAATATTTGGTTAATGTTAATCAAATTTGTTAACATTAACCAAAATTGTTAAAATTAACCAAATTATTTCGTCGCAATCACTAAACCGTTTAGTTTAAGCTATTTCACCAAGCCTTGGTTATTATAACTAAAACCTTTTTTCAATGTATTTAAATTGATCTTCATCGTAAATGCAGTTTTGATAAGTGTCAATAGACAATAAAAATGCATAAAAATTAATTAAATTCCCCGCCCTGAGAAAATTCACTCTCAATGATAATTGCGAAAATCCGTGATTTCTACTAAGCATAAAACATGTAAGCCGTTAATTAAATCTTGAAACTGTTGTTAAGATAGATTAGCACATAATTCTTAATCTAAGCATAATTAATATAAATATCTTATACTAATAACTAATTTGTAAATCCAAACTCTTGTCACGTGTCATATAATCTGAATTATCTAGATACAGAAACTCGGTAATGTTCTACGCCGCGCTTATTTATCTTACATTTGCAAAATATCGTAAATGATACCTACTGTCATCGATACTATTCGTAACGTGTTATCGAGACGCTATACGAAACAAGTAAGACATCGCCGGCTTAAATAAAGCAACGTGACGTGATAATGATTAATTGCGCGGTATGTAATTTTTGTAGTTAACCAAATTTACGTTTCGACCGACAGCAACTACCACGGCGGAATTGATCGCTACAGTTTAACAAACAGGATTATCCTGAAACGCAAGGAGAAGCCGGGGTGCTTCCTTGATTCACAGCGCCATTATTTCGGCTTACGGTGACTTGCTTCGAACGAACCGCAATGAAACCCTGTACATGCCATGTCCTGGACAGGTCGACATCGCTCTCGCGTTATAGGTCATAGGTCGCGTGGTATTGAAACCGGTACGTTTCGATGCGCATAAAGCGAAATCGATTTAAAAATCGGGCGTATCAGGAAATTGGTCTTTTATATGTACTATCGGCAGTATGCATCATAACGTCAACGTGGATCATTATTAATCCTGAACAATGTAAAACGGAATTTAATAAAAATGCCTGCTAATCTAAAGAGCGCTATCGCGTAAATTTTTCCTTTTATTCGCGAAATCTAATAAAAATAAACTCCATCTCTATTCATGTTAAACTTTTATTTTATCTCGATGCTATTGTTTGTTTAACTATAAATTTATTATTACGAATATATAGAGACTTTAAATTTATAAAAATCGGATATTTTGTATTATCTAAAATCAAAGGCAAGAGTATGCATGTGCATGGAAACGCGAAAAAATTCCCTTACACGAACGGAATATTTAATTAGAGGATGTAATGAGATAAAACTACTAATTGTTATGACAAGAAAACGGAGAGTCGAGAGTGGAAATAATTAATAATAATCTCCGTCTCGCTCCTCGGATGTAATTTTCGCGTGATAATTAACGCTATTAGTCATATTGTTTCATTGTTTAAAAAATTCATTCCGTTTGTAGTATATACCGTCGGAAACAATAGGTTTATCCAGGCTTAAAAAAACTACATGGCACAAGAGCGATACGTGCGTAGGTGCGTGGTAATATTGATTTTTACTGACTTTTGCGACGAACCTTTCAACGTACACATACACATACACAAGTTCGCGCAGTTTGCGCAAATTGTTCGGTTTTAAACAAAAGAGAATATATATGATATATCCATGCAATGTTCGCACTATTCAACATCGCCGATGCGAATTTTGGGACAACAATTTTTCAACCTAGAATTATCTAACTTATATGTGTGCATGAGTGATATCGTTTTGAAAGTGTTTATTAATCGCTTTTCGTTTCCATGTAAAAAAAAATTTATTATATTTTCTAATTGACGTAAAACTCACATTCTTTCAATTTTGAATATTTTTTTGTTTAGAATATTTTTTCTTTTTTTTTCTTTTAGTGACAACACCATTTCAAAATCAATTAGCAAAGAATATGTAACGCACAATTTTTAAATGGTTCTTACAAATAATTATAAACAGTTAATTGAAATAAACTGTTAGTTAGATATAAATTTATGTGAATACATAAAAGAAACTAAAATTTTGTCATGTTCTAATCATCACATTAGAGGGTTGCAACTTTGTGAGAACTCCTAAATCGATAAATATATTATTTTAGCATTATTTTTAGGCAAATTGATCAAACAGGGAAGACGGAAGGGCCAAAAGTTGTTTAACACCTTAATTACCCGAGTACCGGTTATCTCGTCACATAAGGGTTAAAAACGATATATACGTGGATCGATAAAATTATCTGACATAGAATCTTTCCTGTGGTACGTGACGAATATAAACTTAATATCCGTCAATTTTATGCGAAGTCATGCCTATCTCCTCGACATTATCTCGTGATAGAGAGACACGTGTATGATAAAATTGTAAAATTTTATGGAGTCAATACGCACGTACTAAAGACATCACAAAATAATACACAGGTGTATTCCTTTGCGCGCACTCTTTTTCTTTTCCCATGTACTTCCGTTTACCTTTTTGACGTTCTTGCAAAGTAACATCGAAAGTTACATCGTTTCCCCTCGTTTTCCATACGAATGAGCTGCTCATCGTGTAGTTTTGACCAA